ATGTATGTAGGTATGTAGGTGTGTAGGTGTGTAGGTGTGTATGTATGTATGTATGTATGTTATGTATGTATGTTTGCCACTGTAAACTAAATTGCCCTCCTGGGATAATAAAAGTGCTATTTTATTTATTATTATTTATTATTACCTTCCCTGACAGACCGTATTCTCCCTCTCTCTTCTTCTCAGTATCGGCGGCCATGCGCTGTTCTGGGACCTCCAGGATGGTATCTAGGCGAGTCTCCAGATCCTTCGTGGTCCTCCTGTCCGCAGGGGCAGCGGTTCTCCTGCTCCTCTCCCAGTGGACGAAACCTTTCCTCGTCTACCAACACCTGGCTCTGGACAGTATACGTGTCAATTTCACGTCACTTCCGGTGCGCCAGAACAGCGAGACACGCCCACATAAAGGCTTCCTGCTGGACACAGCACACTGTAGGATACCGGATATTGACCCTTTTGACCCTGCGATCCTGCAGAAGATTCATAGACGAGGGGAGATAATATGTCAAGGGAAGCCTTCTATCACTTACGTGGATGGCCCGGTGGTGAGAATTAACCGTTCGGTGGTGGATGAATTTTACGACGGGGATTTCAAGTATTGCCAGTATCAGCCTATTGTGAGAGGTCCCAAAAACTCGGATTTTTCCTTTTCTTACGGCGACATGAGCAAGAAGTTTGACCACGACGTGTTAGTTCCCCCTGACCACGAGTTCATGCGCATCTACTGCTACAGCCAGAGCGAGGGGAAACTGTCCACGAACTTCCACGCGCTAGTCACCGCGAAAGAGAAAGTGGAGCAAAAGTCAACGTACCGATTTAAGCAGCATAAACAGAAACGGAATCCGAAGGAGACACTAAACGTTCACATGATAGGCGTGGATTCTGTGTCGCGTCTTAACTTCTTACGTCAGATGCGACAGACGAGAACGTTTCTTCTGGACGAGCTTCAGGCGTTTGAGATGTCTGGCTACAATAAGGTGGAAGACAACACATTCGTCAACATTGTGCCTATGATGGTGGGGAAATTTGTCCACGAGATCGGTTGGAACGAGAGTATGAGGAAGCAAGCCTTCGACGACTACAACTTTTTGTGGCATAACTTTTCTAAAGCCGGGTATAGAACGCTGTACGCTGAAGATGCTCCTAAAATCGCCATCTTTGTTTACGGAAAGGAGGGCTTCCATACTCCACCTGCGGATTACTACAACCGCCCTCTTGCTCTCGCGATGGAGACCCAAAAAAGTGTGTGGAACAGAAACCATCACTGCATCGTGGATCGTCTGGAGACGTCCATGTTGTTAGATTACGTCACAGATTTCTCGAGGATGTTTAAAGACAAACCTCATTTTGGATTTACGTTCATAACGAGACTGACGCACGACAGTATCAGTTTAGTGGGTTCCGCCGATTACGCCTATCTAAAGTTTCTTAAGAGGTTTCAGGTCGAAGGTCACCTCAACAATACCGTCCTCATTCTCTACAGTGATCACGGATACCGCTTTGGGGACATGAGAAACACGTACGTAGGAAAAGTAGAAGAGCGACTCCCGTTTTTATATTTAGTTTTCCCATCATGGTTTCATAAAAAATACCCTAAACTCGCCAAAAATTTACGGACTAATTCCAGAAGACTTACAACTCCGTTCGATATATACGAGACACTAAAAGACATTCTGTACTTCGATGGTGAAGACAGAGAAGCATCCCTCTCAGACAGAGGGATTAGTTTGTTGCGGGAGGTTCCACCCGAGCGCTCATGCCAGCACGCCGCCATATTGCCTCACTGGTGTTTGTGTCTAGAAGAGAGGGAAGTGCCTACAAACAGTACGGTCGGCCGGAGGATTGCGCATGCGCTGGTGGGTCACATAAACGACATCCTGTCGCCTGCGTCTCACCTCTGCGCTACACTCTCGCTGGGCAATGTCTCCCAAGTAGTTCAGATGCAGTCCAATGAAAAGATTTTGAGGTTCGAGGATAGTCTACATGACGTCATCAACAAGACCGTTGTTTACGGCGAGCGGACTGAGGCGCCGGTTGTGTATCAGGTGACCTTGAGCACTGTTCCGGGTCACGCCCTTTTCGAGGCGACCTTGACCCATGATCCTGTGTATAACATATTCAAATTAGCCGGGAGCATCAGCAGGATAAATGCATACAGGGACCAATCTATTTGTGTAGAGAATTCCAAGCTCAAAAAATTTTGTTATTGTTCGGAGAAGTAAAGAATTGGAGAGAACGTATTGCGTGCGTCTTTTTTCTTGTGTACATGGTATGTTATTGTTGAGGTTATTTTTGCTAATGTTGTTGTTGTTGTCCTCATAATTGTAGTTTTATTGCTTATGTTATGGCTATTGTATTTTTTTGTAGTTGTTTTTTGTTATGTTCTCTACTGTTGTTGCCTTGTTATGGAAGTTGTAGTGTTTGTTTTTACTGTAATTGCTGATGCTGATGTTGGTATTTTTGTTGTTGTTGTCGCTTCTCATTATCTTTTAAATTTTATTTCAAAAGCAGTAACTGCTTTACTTTCATTGTACGTAGTTGTGATGATGATGATGATGATGATGATGATGATGATGATGATGATGATGATGATGATGATGATGATGATTGTAAGAGTTGAACACACCTATCGACAAAATAACTTAGAGTTCGGGGATGGGCTGCTTCGACCCTGCTTTTCAAAGCCAAGTTGGGCTTTTTGGGACACAGCATCACAGCAGACAGACTGAGATCGCTTTCGAAAAAAATTAATTTAAACTTCCCCACGTGGGAATCAAACTCTCGTCTTCTCTATATGTAAGATGGAGACTTTATCCACTACACCATGGAAGCCCGGGATGATGATGATGATGATGATGATGGTGATGATGATGATGATAATGATGATGATGATGATGATGATGATGATGATGATGATGATGATGATGATTGTAAGAGTTGAACACACCTATCGACAAAATAACTTAGAGTTCGGGGATGGGCTGCTTCGACCCTGCTTTTCAAAGCCAAGTTGGGCTTTTTGGGACACAGCATCACAGCAGACAGACTGAGATCGCTTTCGAAAAAAATTAATTTAAACTTCCTCACGTGGGAATCAAACTCTCGTCTTCTCTATATGTAAGATGGAGACTTTATCCACTACACCATGGAAGCCCGCGATGATGATGATGATGATGATGGTGATGATGATGATGATGATGATGATGATTATGATGATGATGATGATGATGATGATATAGGGTTGGAAACTGTACTGAAACTATGGTATCGATTATGTAATGTCGTTGTCATTGTTGTTGTTCGCCATCATGGTGGTATTTGGGGTACAATAACTGTGTTTTGATAACTGTTTCGATGTAACTTACGTTATTGTGTGTGTGAG